CTCTCCTCAGCCTCCCAAAGTGCTGGGATTACAGGTATGAGCCACTGCGCCCGGCCCTACCCAAGTCTATCTTAAAAAAAAAAAAAAAAAAAAAATCTCTTTCCTGACTTCATGTTTCCTTCCAGCTATGCTGTCTTATTTCTCTACTTTTTTATCTACAAAATTTGTTGCAAGCGTCATCTGAATGACTGTTTCCACTTCCTTCAGTCTCATTCACCACCGTACATACCATGGGACAGCTAGTGCCCCATTACACCATGAAAACTCTTCCTGCCAACGCTTGCTGAATCTAGTGACTGTTTCTCAGACTGTATCTAGCTTGACCTCTGGGCAGCACTAGACACAATGACCACTTCCTTCTTGAAATGTTGTCTTCCTGGCCTTTTGTAGTCCTGCAAAATTCTTCTGTCTCTCTGGCTCTTTCACAGGCCTCTTGGTGTATGCTATCCTATAAGTAGGCCTAGTCATTTTCAGCTGTATTATTATTAAATGCTAGTCTTAGTGAACTACTTCCAGTTACCCAAGTAAACTTTCTTAATTCTAGGCCTTCATTCCTGTGGTTCCCTCTCGCTGAAATTCTCTTCTCCTTCCTCTCCTTCCTTCCCTTACTTAGCTTCCCTCTCCTCTACTTCCCATGTCAGCTTAGAAGCCTCTTCCTCCCACAGGTCTTCCCTTCGCTCCTCAGGGCTGGCAAAGGCACCCCTTCTGGGTCCTTCATGACCCCTCTGCTTTCTCTATCATGTAACTTATCATACTACAGCATAATCATCATAATTATGTTTTCTTGGCTCAAGCTTGCCCTTGATGGCAAATTCTGTGAAGCCACGATTATATTTGCTTTTAGCGCATAGCATAGCCTGAGTCACATAACAAGTGAATGAATGAATGAAGATCCATTCATTATTGCTATGTTGGATTGAAAGTGAGTGTACCTTATATGAAATTTTCAATGCTACATATTGTTACCTGTTAAAACCGGGCAAGTCCCTTTTCTTAGCATCGGTTTCCTCATCTGTAAGATGAGATGTAAAGCAAGCCTCCTGAGAGCACTTTGCAGAAGTTATCTCTACTCATCCGCACAAAGACCCAACAGAGTTGAAACCTGGATTTAAGGAGGTGATGCCTGTACCTCATCTAGCACAGGGCCAGACAGTTTCCTTAGCAAGGCTAGCTTTACCAGTACCATGAAAGAAGGCAGAAAAGTAATATTCTTTCCTTGTCTATAACTACATTCACCTTGCTCATAAGCACCTGTTTCTGTTCGGTTAGAAATTAAAATCTGACACAAACAAACTTAAACTCTCCCATTCGAAGAATGTAGTCTCTTCTGGTTTAAAACCAACCACAGGCTCTTCTGAGTTGCTTTTCCAAGTCACTTTCCAGTTACTCTTTTAGATAAACACACAGTCTTTTAGGGCCCCCTCATTCCCCTCCTCATTCACTGAATACAGTGGAAAGTGTGTTAAGCTGGAGGCGGAGAGGGAACCTCTGGCCTACGGTCCCTCGGGTCCTCACTGTGTCCATGGATAGTGAAATCATGGACTGGTCACTGCTCAGAGTCCCCCCTTGCTAAACCAGCCCTTCACTGAGTTCTCAAGGGCACTGGGTCTTCTGCAAGGAGAAAACCTTCTCCAAGAGCACTGAGGCTTCTACAGCTCCAGCTATTTTTCCCTTCGACCTCTGCCAATAGCCTCTGCCTCAGGGGCCCCTCCTGCAAGCAGTGGGGATCTCCTGGCAGGGAGGCTGGTTCTCTAATCCAAGTTCCCTCTAGAGCCTGTGGAGACTTCTGGATCTTCTCCATGGAGGGGACAGAGTGAGGGAGGGGTGACAGAGTTTCCTTGAGAGATTTCATGGGCAAGGATTTTAAGATTTTGTTCTCTTACAGTACCAATGGTCCCCGACTTACTCTGGTTCGACTTACGATTTTTCAGCTTTATGATGGTGTGAAAGTGATACATATTCAGTGGAAACCATACTTCAAATTTTGCATTTGGATCTTTTCCCAGGCTAGCAATATGTGATGTGATACTCTCTTGCAATGCTGGGCCAAATAATCTAACACAATGTCTGTTTTATAATAAAGTGCTGAATAGCTCATGTAATTTACTAAATACTGTACCAAAAGTGTTCTGAGCACATTTAGGGTAGGCTCAGCTGAGCTGTGATGTTCAGTAGGTTAGGTTTATTAAGTGCATTTTTGACTCTTGGTATTTTCAATCTGTGATGGATTTTTCAGGACATACCCCCATCATAAGTTGAGAAGCATCTGTGCTTTGTTACATTAGTAGCTGCTTTAAAAGACATTGCTGAATTGAATGAATGATTCTCAGTCCATCTCTGCCTAAACATTGCTGTGTCATTGTTTCATTTTGATTTTCAGTTTATCTCAGGTTTCTAATCCCTTCTTCCAGAGTTTTGAATCCAGTGTAGTAATGGGAGCAGGAGGTGCCCTGAGCGGACCTCTCATATGAGTCTAAACTACGTTACTCTCCTCTTCTCTTTCAGTACGGAACAATTTTATTTTCCACCTGCCTGACAGGAAGTAGCTTTACATTATATTCTACTTTCTCTATACTTTATGGTTTAGAGTTAAGGTGATCATGTGTTCGGGTTTTGCCTGTGGTGGTCATGGTTTATAACTATTGTCTGCATGTAATTAACAGTAACGCAGGCTTCACTCTCAAAATGACCTGGTTTGGATAGTAAATTACATGGTCATCTTTCTTTTCTTTTTCTTTTTTTAAAGATAGGGTATCACTCTGTCACCTGGGCTGGAGTGCAGTGGTGTGATCACAGCTCGCTAAAATCTCAACCTCTGGGGTTCAGGTGATCCTCCCACCTCAACTTCCCGAATAGCTGGGCACACGCCACCACACCTGGCTAATTTTTGTATTTTTGGAGAGTTAGGGTTTTGCCATGTTGCCCAGGCTGGTCTCAAACTCCTGGGCTCAAGCAGGCTGTTCACCTCAGCCTCCCAAATGTTGAGACTACAGGTGTGAGCAACTGTGCCCGACCATCCCTACTTTTCAAAATGAGTTTAAGCTCAGGCTTCCAAACTTAAATCTCCTTGTAACTTAAAGCTCAGTGTTGGGAGCCACCCAAAAACCTTTCTCTTAAGTTCCTGGCTCTTGCAAGTAAAGGTCTTGGCTTTTATGATACTGTTCTAGTATAGACATTAAAATATCTATTTTGAAAGACAAAGATATACAATGACTTTTTTATTCAGAGAAATGAAAACATTTCAAGAAAGTAAAAGTAAGCATTTGAATGTATCAACAGCCTGGCACCAGCAATCCATCGAATGACCCTGGCCTGTGCACAGTCCTGGTGGATAGTGGTGGATGTCAGATGCCCAGGTCATCCTGTCATCTAGGATTAAGAGTTGTTAACATTTTGTTCTTCTAGGAAATTTTAGAAAAGAAATAAAAGATTATTGCCAGCATCTTTTATAACCAGCAGAACACTTCTTTATTCTAGGTTGTATGTGCCCTTCACCTGAGGACAGTTTATAGAAAGCTATAGCTGTTATTTGATTAGAGGGGAGTGTGTTGAGGTTGAAATAACTTATAAAAAATATTTTTAAATAAAAACATTAACTGGATGCATAAGCTATCAATAAATGTGATTTCCCTTTCTAACTCGACATGGTAACCCTGCTCATCTTGTGTTGGTTGGAAGCACTGCTTGACAATATGTATGATATTGATTAACAAAAATGAAAAGGCATATTAATTTGTTAAATCACTTGGCAGAAAAATTATGATCAATCTTAACTAAAACATAATTTGATAGGCAATGTCTTTTAAAATAAAGTATATATGGAAGAAAAACGTCAAAATACAGCACCTCAAATGTTTTTTTAAAAAGAGGCTTGCAACCCCATCCAGGTAACAGAATGACACTGCTGACTACATTTCAGTAGGTAGTTTACTTTCAGATTTTTTTGGTAGTAGCAAAGAATGAGACATTCACATTCCCTCTAGCTCATCTTGTAACAAGTTTTGTGTTTCCTCAGGATGGTTGACTTGGATTAGGTTAGAGAACAAATAATTTGACCTAATTATTAAATAGCAACATAGCTCACCAATAGACCTAGGGAACAGACACCTGTGCCCCAAACATATTACTACACTTTCCTAAATGTGGCTTTGTAATATCATTATGACTCTTTATTTTATTTTATTTTATTATTATTATTATTTTTAATGAGACATATTTTTGCTCTTGTTCCCCAGGCTGGAGTGTAGTAGTATGATCTCGGCTCACTGCAACCTCTGACTCCTGGGTTCAAGCGATTCTCCCACCTCAGCCTCCCAAGTAGCTGGAATTACAAGCATGCACCACCACACCCAACTAATATTTTGTATTTAGTAGAGATGAGGTTGTATCATGTTGGCCAGGCTGGTCTCGAACTCCTGACCTCAGATGGTCCACCTGCTTTTGCCTTCCCAGGTGCTGGGATTACAGGTGTGAGACACCGTGCCTGGCCCCATGACTTGCATAAGAAGCATGACTTGCCTCTGAGGACACTCGTGTGTCTAGGATAATGAAGTCTTTTTTTTTTTTTTTGAGATGGAGTCTCACTCTGTCGCCCAGGCTGGAGTGCAGTGGCATGATCTCAGCTCACTGCAACCTCTGCCTCCCAAGTTTAAGTGATTCTCCTGCCTCTCTGCCAAGTAGCTGGAATTACAGAAATGTGCCACCACGCCCAGCTAATTTTTTTTGTATTTTTAGTAGAGATGGGGTTTCGCCATGTTGGCCAGGCTGGTCTCCAACTCCTGACCTCAGGTGATCCACCTACCTCGGCCTCCCAAAGCGCTGGGATTACAGACGTGAACCACTGCACCCAGATGAGAATGGGGTCTTCAAGAGGGTGTGGAGGAGCAGTGAGCTTGGACAATTAGGGGCACCCTCACACTATTACTTCCTTTCTTTCTTCTACAGTTCTTAAACTTAAGCTGCTTCCTATCTCTCTTCTTTTCTTCCTCTCACATCCACAGATGGGGTGGCTGCATTCCGTGCCTTCTTGAAGACGGAGTTCAGTGAGGAGAACCTGGAGTTCTGGTTGGCCTGTGAGGAGTTCAAGAAGACCAGGTCAACAGCAAAACTGGTCTCTAAGGCCCATAGGATCTTTGAGGAGTTTGTGGATGTGCAGGCTCCACGGGAGGTGTGTTGGCAGCGGCGACCATCCTGTCTGTCCATGGCTTCTGGCCTGTATTTCTCTCTCAGAGAGGATCTGAGCCAGGCTTGATGAGGACTTTCTTATACAAAACTGAACCTCATCGCTCTGGTGGCCCTTGATGAAAAAAAAAAAAAAGGATCATTTTTAAGAAACAGAAACCCAGCACTTCCATCAGAGGAGCTCCATTAGGAGTGTTTTAGTTGTCTGTCAGTTAAGCATGCGCTAGCAGGAACTGTGCTGCTACAGAGATTCTGCAAGAATAAATGCTACCGAGTCTATGTTCGTTTTCCTGGTGGAAGGCAGCATAGCTTAATGAAATGTGGATCTGCTTTGAAATCTTGTTTCAATTTTAGCTCCACCACTTACTAGCTAGGAGATCTTGGTCAAGTTACTAAACCTCTCTGGGTCTCAATTTCCCCAATGTAAAAGGGTACCTACCTTTCAGAGGATGAGAGATGAAGCACCTGTTCAGTATTTGCCACTGCTCATTAATGAGTAATTATAATTATTTATATTATTTAATTATAATGATTTATAGTAATAGGATGAATTTCTATTATATTGCTGTTCTGAGTTATAATACAGAATTTTACTTGGGAGGGGAGGGTTTACATGAAGAAAAATGTTTGCTACCAGTTTAGGTGCATTGTATTTTTAGATTCCTTCAATTATGCTTTGACTTGGGATACAAGAAGTCTTTACCAGTTGTCTAGGATGCTACAGGCCCTTTATAAAGATGGTTGGAACAGAGATGTACATTCTAACCAGCGCCTCCCTCCACAAGGCATTTGTTTCCTTAGTAGACAAGATAAGACAGCAGAAAAAGCTTACTTCAGGGGACTTGCATTAACAACTGGCTTGGATCTATCTCTTTGCCTGCCAGGGTGAAGGTCCCTGGATTAGAGATTCAAGTAATTTGGGATTTTGCCTTGGCTCTGTTGCTAACTTTCCATACTACTTTAAACAAGCTTTGTAGTCTCTTATTTTCAGTACTGTTGTCTATAAATTGGGACTGAGAATATCTGGTCTGCAGACCCCACAGGATTCTTGCTGTGATCAAAAGGGATGACCTCCATGGAAGCAATTTGTAAAGCCAAAATCGCCTTAAACATGTAGATGCTGTCATTAATAATTACTGCATAGTTAGGGCCAGCTGCCAGAAACCTTGGCCGTTGAGGGCCTGTGACCTTGCTCTCTGTTTGTATCTCTAGGTAAACATTGACTTCCAGACCCGAGAAGCCACGAGGAAGAACATGCAGGAGCCGTCCCTGACTTGCTTTGACCAAGCCCAAGGAAAAGTACACAGCCTCATGGAGAAAGACTCTTACCCCAGGTTCCTGAGGTCCAAAATGTACTTAGATCTGCTGTCCCAAAGCCAGAGGAGGCTCAGTTAGACCTCAGAAGTGGACTCCTGGAAATCACTGGCTTTCCCCTCCTCTTGCTGCCAAGATCATATTCTAATGTGAAATGTCATAGGTGTTCAAAAGTGGTGGCATTGGGGGTGAGAGGCTGGGGGTGAGGAGGAATGAAGGGCCATTCCAAAGTATGACCCAGCTGCTGGAGCTTGGACTCTATTCCATTTACCCATGTTTGTGTTTTGGTTAGTGGTAGCGCCTTGCCGCTGTCACCCTTTTCTGGGTCAGCAACTCGCCCTTCATAATGCCTTGGGTCACCTCTGCTGAGAGGGCAGATTTGCTGTGCTAGGCTAATCTGTAAATAATGCAAATGCAATTCCCACCACCTCCACACCCTCCTCAGTTAGGATTCCTGACTCCACTTGTTGTAAATCCCTGGGAGGAGTAGCTGAAAGACTTGGGCTCCACTCTGTGATTTGTAGTGGCCAGCTCTGCTCACTGGGACCTCACAGCTTAGGAGAGAGGTTTCTGTGGAATTCCAAGTTTCTAGTGCTGTCATTGACAGGTGACCTCTCAGAGAAGGAGTGAAATCCATGGAGTTGTTTGTTTCTTCCATTTCCATTGGACCAGTGTGAAAAACTGTGATTACTTTCCATCTTGGCCTAGGAAATTCACAAGACTACCCTACCCTTACATTTCCAGAAAGAGTCTTGGGACATGTCCTTCATGACTTCTGAAGTGGAATTGCCATGAAGAAAGATACAGCTTACAAATCTTCCTCAATTCTACGAAGAACTTTTCCAGAAGTCAGGAGACGAGGGAATGTAGCACCAGTAGACTTCTATTCAAAGGGGTACCATATAACCTGTCTGTTGCTCTTTGTCTTCTCTGCCCTCACCTCTCTGCAGCATCATACATCACTGATCTCTTAGGATGACAACTTGGCAAAGGGAGGTGAATCCCTGTAGCATGGAGTGCTCCCACGGTGCCTAGTACTTTCCCTGTATCTCCACCTCCCCCCTTCCATGCCGGTCATGTAATTATGATGGGGGAGAACGGGAATTTAGGCTGAAACTCTTTCCAGCATACTTCCTGGGAACATGCTTACTTAGAAAGATCTCTTTCTTGGATACCATGAAGCAGCTTCTTTCTTGATCTTTGACCTTTTGGAATTGAGCATGAAATAGGAAGTGTGGCTAAGAAGATCACTGTGAGCATCTGGATGTGGAGAACCTTCCTAAAATGCTTTCATGGTATCCTACAGCTGCTCTTGGAAGTGTGTCAGGCAACTCTTCCTTGGAGGATGAGTGAACAGCCTGGAACCTACTCTAGCTACCCAGGAAAAAGCTGACTTTGGCACAAGAGTAGTGCCAAGGAGATGAACCTTTAGCAGAGAGACCAGAAAGTGAAAGTGGGGCATGCAAGAGGCTGGTTTCCAGGTGGAGAGGCTAACAGGGTGGAGTTACTGTTGGAATAATTCACGACCAATGGATTTGGATTCACTGCAGATCTACAAAACTTTCAGCTTGACTAAGTGGAACAGCACATGATTAAGCATAAGCTCTGTGCAGGCGATTGCAAACTGAGCTGAACCATTCTCGTTTTAAGGGGTGAGGGGCCTTTTAAGGTTATGCTGGTGGTGTTCCAGTGCTTGTGTTCCTCTCCGTTAACTTTGAGAATCTCTTCCTTTTTTAGCTATAGCTAGACCAGGCCAAGAAGGCCCTTGAGTCCCACTAGTGCTAGGGCCCACTGCACTGCCACGGCACATTGTTATCTGTGAGTGAGGGTGGGTGTGACTGTGTGAACCTCAAGGGGAGAGAAGAACACACGTCTCCTAGCCCTCACACCGAAAAGACCTGTGGAATTTCGTGTTCGAGAACTCCAAAGCCTCAAATGGGTGGTCCTAGTTAGATCAGGTAGTATCCTCCCAACCGTGGTTAAAAAAACAAATCACTCTTTTTTAGATAAAGCTGCCAGAATTAATTTAATGATTAAATTCTCTAACAGGGTATTTTAAACATTGTTTACATATGAAATGTGCATCTGCTGCCAACTCTACTGTCGAATATGAGGTGCATATAAATTGGAATTGCACAGAGTTATAGAAATGTGAAACATTCTAAAAGGGGCCTTTTTCACCACTTCCACTATCCCAAGGAGAAAAGCCTGAACGAGAGTGTCGTGCTATGGCCTCATAGAGGGACCTAGAGTTCTTGCCAACTATTGAGGAAACGAAGGCTGCAGGTGATGGTATCATGGCGCCCTGGTGACTTCCTCCCACAATGGGGAGGTGTGAAAGACCCAGCTTGGGGATCCTGAATTTTGCAGCTAAGCAAGGGTATGTGGGCGTGTGTCCGTGTGTAGAGGAACGTGATAGCTAAATTTATGGTACTCCTGTGGAGCGTCTCTGTGTGTTTGTGTGTGTGTGTGACAATTGTGAGCATTAGACTAGTACATGGCAGACATGATCTTCCCATGGGGTGGAGCTTTCCTCATACCCTGTATGCCCTGCTTCCCACAAGAGGCGCAGAGCTCTCGACTCTGATGCCTAGTTTTAGGCACTCTGGTTGTGCCAACCCAGATTTTGGTCTGTGATAAAACAAAGAGAAATGTTTACAACATCTAGAGCAATATCCAAGCATACCTCATCCCTGAGCTTCCATGTTTCCCAGTCCTGCCCTCTCTCCCATTGCCTCTTCCACAAGCTCATGTCCTTGGGTATGACTTCCATTTATTTCCTGTCTTCCTTTGCTCCTCAAGCCGGGCCTGTGCTGTGGACTTGCTCTCTGGACTCAAGGCTTGCTGGGTCCTGGGCCTGTGCAGGCTCCAGGCAAGCCAGGGCAGGAGTCCAGGCAGAGCTGTGACTTCCAGAATTGCTCTCCATCCCTGAGTGACCTTGCCACACTGGAGGGCTAACTTGTTTGGGGGCTGGTGTGAGATTCATCATTGCCCTTGGCAAACTAAATAGAATACTGTCAGTATCAACCATTCATGGCCTTGGGCACCTCTGGGGTGAGGAAGAATCCTCTGAGGCAGTCCTTCTCATTAAACTTGAGCACGCACAGGAATCACCTGGAAAGCCTGTGACAAGTGCTAATTCCCAGGTGCACACCCAGAGATGTTGATCTGATAGACCTGAGATGGGGCCCAGAAATCAATATATTTAATAAGTTCCTAGGTGGCTAGTGGCCTGTGGACTTGGAAAAAGGATGGTCTTAGACAGTGGCTCATGACCTTGGCTGCTCCTTAGAATCACCTAGGGAGTTTTTAAAACCCAGATGTCCAGGTCCCACCCCAGAACAGCCAAATCAGAAGCTTTTGGTAGAGACCCAGGCATCAGTCACTTTAAAGCTCCACAGGTGACTCCAATGTGCAGCTGAACTTAGAAAGCATTGGTCTAAGGAGTGAGGAGGAACGCAGTGTGGGGGAGGGGAAAGGGGGGAACACAGCTGTGTGGACCAAGGGGGCTGGCGCATTTCCAGATGCAAGCACGTAGATACTGAGGAACCTGGCTGGTCCTGGAACCTGACTCGGGATGCTGCCTCGATGCCCTCAGGGTCTGACTTGCTCTTTTGAGATAAAGGTGATTTGGCCCAAGCTGCGTGCATTGCTGGGCAGCGGCCATGCCGAAGGTGGTAGCTGAAGGGATCCTTGATCGAAAGATGCTCTGCCGTGCTTTCCGAGTCCTGTCTCCTCCAAGCTTGTCTCCTAGGCTGTTTCCCCTGTCTGTTTTCCTGCGCCCTTGTGTTTGGCCATTTTTGCATTAGGGTGTGTCTCTGTACCCAAGGCCACACGACAAGGTAGTTGGAACCCCCACTCACGTGGTGAGTGAAGAGCGTCGTGGTAATAATAATAGTAGTAACACAACTTCCAAATTTATCAATGGAGAGTGTCACATCCTGGGGATATCAAGATCTGTGAGGCCTTTCCAAGCCCTCACCATTCCCTCTTTGGTCCCAGGTTGGGTGGGCAGCTGGGAAGGTCCTAGTTGATTTTAATCTCCGGTGCTCTCCCCAGAACTGCTGCTCTGAATAAACCAAAGCTGTGAAAGAGCGTTCTGCGCAGGCTGTGGGCCCAGCCTCTGGGTGCAGGCCCTGGGCGCTTGAGCTGGGCAGCTCAGCTGGCTCTGCTGTGAGGGCAAGCTGTGAACTTAACTGTGCTGAAAGCTGGGGAGGGTAGAATGGGGAAGACTGAAGAGGAAGGAGCGGGTGGGAGAGACCAGCCGCTAACATGGTGTCTGCTTCTCCATGGACCAGAGGAGAAGGGATGAGTAGAAAATGCAGAGGCAGGATGGTCTCCCAGCAACAAGAGTGTCCAGAGTTCTCCTGACCCTGTCTGTGCCCAGTTCCACGGAAGGCAGAGGCATCACGGTTTTCCATCCCAGGCCACCCTGCCAAGTGTCAGGCCTCTCTAAATCTGCATCCCTCTGGGTTAGAAGCAAGAGAGGTGGCAAAGCCTCCCTGGCACTGAGAGCCTGTTCCAACGTGCCACTCGGCATGAGATGGTGGAGGAAGAAACCAAGAGCAGAGATGCCTTCCTGTTCCCGTGGCCTCTCAGGACTCCACAAGATGCTGTGGACCAAGACGGGAGATCTCAGGATGGGGCCACTGGCCTTCCTAGGTTGGGCTCTGGGTCCTTTTAATAAACTGTTCCTTTCCTGGTTCTTACTCCCTTTTGGTCCTTCCGCTCCCTTCCCTCTGCCAGGTATGGAAAAGGTGGCTGGGCTGGGTGTGCGCTCCAACCCCAGTAGCATTAGCTGAGTCACGCGGCGAGCACACAACAGATTTGTAGCAGCTCATCTGCCATATAAACCGCTTGGCTGATGGTGTCCTCATTGAGTTGTTTCATTACCATGTAAAGTGGAATCATGTCTTTCACCTTTACTATAAACAAGGCTGTGAGAACATAATAAACAGAACCTGAACAAGCTGCCCTCTGGTCTCTGCCCACATTTCTGCCCAGCTGACTCTTTATGAGGAAACTCTCCACATCACACATGGACTTGCTGGAGGGAGGGCACGTGGCCCCATCTGGCAGCAGCTGGCACGGGGCTGGCCATCAGCAGAAGCAGGGGTGTGGGTGGAAATGGATGGGCCTGGCTTGGGGATGAGCGTGGGGTGGAGAGTGACTTTGGGTTATGAAAGTTGCTTTGAAACTGTAAAGTGCTGTCCCAATTCGAGGTGGTGTTTTTATTACTACCACCTACTGCTTGAAAATGCAGAGAGGAAAAAAAGGGTGAGGATGGTTTGTGTATTTGTTCAGCTGGAGCAATCTGGAAATGCAGTGGGTTGATCTTGCTTAGGGCTGTACCTCACTTTATACAATCAACGTGTCCCCGAGAAGTGTGTATTAGTCATCAGATCTTTAAGTGCCTCTGGTGATCAGGTCCTGTGGAGGGGAGGAAGGAGAATAAGGCACTGTATCTGCTCACAAAAGCTCATTCTTCAGGTGGGGTGATAAGACAGAGATATGCAAAACCTTAACCATCCAAATAATTGAAAATGCTCTGGAAAAGGTCTGTCTTTAAAGGAAAGCTGATGCTTCTTCAAAGGTGAATCCTTTGGGTTAAAAGAAAAGTCCTTTTGTAAAGCAAATGATCACCTTCAATTCCAGTTGGGCAAGGAGTAGTGGCAGGTTGGGCTGCTGCAGACAGGAGTCCACCACT